TAGCTTCCTTTAACAAATTCTATTTATATTGCGAACAAAATGTGTTTCTGCTTATTTTTAAAAAAGATTTTTTTCCTCCTTCTAAAAATATCTAATTTTATATAAGTTTCCCCCCTCCCGCTTTTTTATTTCCATTTCAATGCTACTTTTTGTTTTTAAAAGTAAAGTAAATTTGTTTATCAAACTGGAATAAATGCTTTTTTAAAACAGAAATTTGCGTGATGAAATAAACACAAATTCTTTGAATATTTAAGTGTATAAATAAAAAAAAAATAAATAAAAATAATAAATAAAAAAAAAAAAAAAAAAAAAATAATAAAAAAAACTGAGTTGATTAAGATTAAATATCAGATACAGTTTCCGGCACTGTAGGCCGTATCATTAAAATGCATGTTACATTCATTACAAATTATTTGTTTTCTAAACTTTCTTTTTTGAAAACAATCGATTGGAAAGTTTTAAAGAAAACCTTTAAAATTCCCCGAGCTGGAGTAGCTTGAACTTTTTCCTAGATTCCCTAATAAAGGTTTTTTTCCCCTTCGGCAGATCCTAACCTCCTTCTCGCTCGAAAGAGAAAGAAGAGGGTTTCTTGTCGATCAATGCTTACTGAAGACAGCTTCCTATCGATTCTTTGGGAATGCAGCATCGTAATCGAATTATAGAGAACTTTTGTCGAAATGACAGAGAAAAGAGCGGAGTGATTTATTTTTCGTTTTCGGTTTTCTTTTCTAATAACAGTAAGAAAAACCAATTCCGATCTAGCTGGCTTGGAGGACAGCGCTTTAGTGTGTAGCTTTCTCTCTCTATTTCTTTTCTCCGAAGGTCATATATAAACACATACTATATGCTTGTGGACTTGCATAAATACGTCAAGAATGTGTGTAAGCAGTGCTGGAAGTAAGTAAAACCTTAAGTGTAAAGCATTTATTTCAGAAAAATTATATAAACTAAAATACATGATATTAGTAACAATTGCAATATAACTTAGCTAGAAAACGTGGAATATACTTTTATTGCAAAATTGTAATACCTTACTTTTTTCCTGACGGGAGAATTGAAATTTGGATAAATTTTTTTAAAAATGATTTCACCATTATTGTAAAAGATAAAAAAGTTCACAAATTTTCGATTATTAAGAAAAATATCATTCATGTATTGAATACCACGTGCGTATGACGTAGATAAAAAATTAACCATAACGTCGTAATGCATTAATATGTTATAAAGTATCTTTTCCCTCCTTCCAGCATGTCTTCGTGCTGTAACGGTTAGCACACTCGGCAAGTATTCGAGAGGTTCAGGTTCGTGTCCCGGCGAGGGCAGTGCCCATATTTCACATTTCCTGCTTTAATTAACCTAATGACTGCACAGTGGCCCCCGAACCAAAAAAGAGGTGGATGAAGATGATTCTTCCCCACCAGAATTTGATGATTGAGTCCCTTAATCCTCAGTCGCCCTTTAAAAGCGGAAGTATATAAGGTAAACTTCAGGTTACAATACAACACTTTGAAGAACAGCTAACAATTCTTAAAAATGATAACGATAAAAAAATTAAAAACGCATAGTGGGAGCCCAATTAAATTGTTTCCCATCTTATGTAAAAATAATACCTGTCATCGTAATCTTATAAAATTAACTCTTTTTTCTTGAATACACCAAAAATTCAACTAAAAATACTTCAGTTTTTTTAAAATTGTAGTGATTGTTTTCTGCATACATTTTTTTTTGCGTTTAATATGAAATCAAAAAGAAAATATCAAAATATTAAAAACGTGTATTATATTTTGAACAGAGCATATGGAGGACTGCAGTTTGTATGTCCACAACAAAATTTCACTCTCATCAAACAATTTTAAATTGAGTACTGAGAATATTGTGCACAGAAGAAGTAAAATCAAATTTTTGTTACTGTTATTACACAGGGTATTAAACATATATTGCATTTATTACATTTTGCATGTAAAATAACATTTCCTGAAACATGTAATTAAGAAACACAGATAAAATAGAAACACAGATAAAATAGAAACACAGATAAAATAGAAACACAGATAAAATAGAAACACAGATAGAAACACAGATAAAATAGAAACACAGATAAAATAGAAACACAGATAAAATAGCTTTTCAAATCGCATACTTTCTTACAGCGAGAAACAATAATGTTCTGTAATGAAGATGATCAATAAAAAATCTTATGATTTGTTGACTGATGAGTTCTTAGCAGAAAATAATAGCACTTCTTAGCAATGATAAAATCTCTTTTTGCTGTAGACTTTAATTCCAAATAAAAAGCATGCAACTAACTTCAACTGCAGGTATATAAACTGTTAAAAAATTATTTTAAAATGTTAAAATTATTACCTGATATCCAATCAAATGATTTATTGTGAAAAAATCGACCTAAAAACTTCCTTACGTTTACAGAGTGGTGGACATTTTAAGGAGCTATGGAGCTATTTTGCATTTCTAAATGTGTCTTGACGGCGCCATGAAGCATGACAAAAATAATTTCGTTAAAATGTCGATTTAAATGTCTTTTTATTTACAATTTTCTGAAGATTTGTTTAAATATGTTAGCAGAAAACTATTGAATTATGTTAGGTAACTAACATTATATAAAAATTATATAATCTATTGGATGAAGTGAAGGTTATATTCTTTAGAGTACAGTAATGACTCTTATAGACACTCAGGAAGTCCTCAATTTAGGCATCCCTTGTATCTCCTAGGCAGATAGCTCTTGTTTGCTTTGCAGTATTCCTATAACCTAACCTAACCATAAGAAACATGGAGGAAATTTAATATAGTAGCATAAGATTTACATGAGAAAATGTTAAGTGTTATGTCTATGTGAAAGAAAAATGATTAATTGTAACGTATAGCTGTTCGAGTTGTGTTGTTGGGATCTACTATCAGTCTCTTAATATAGGGTAAAAATATGTTTCATATTGTTGTTGTTGTTGTTGTGACTTATCTCACTTGTCTGACAGTAACATCAGAACTAGCCCACGAAATTCTTCGCGGCAAGGAGTGCAAGATTAAGCCTGTCGTTGGCAATTGCCTTGAACATCATATAAGTGACAGTATGAATTTCCTCAGTTCCGCCCCCAATTTTGATGGAGAGAACCCTGGGGGGGGAGACGGGTCTGAGGATCTCATACTCCTCTTTCCCTACCACTAACCTTTCCAGAGGACTTTCGGCTCGCCGCATGTTTAGAGTGCTCCCATGCCGCAGAAACACTATACATTCACTATGCCTTCTCTGGGATTCCAACCGGGGCCTTTTCCTAAGGCAGTCAGGGTCGCTAACCACTATCCCGGTCGAGCTGTTAAAGACTGCTGCATATTGGTAGTTTATACTTGGTTCGAAACCAAATGAGGGCTAACCAGCAGCCGAGTGGTAAAGTCGCATAAACACTGGGTAGTTCGGTCTGAAATTTGAAACCATAAAAAAGGGGGGGGCTGGGTGCATGGACGTTTTTGTGGTTTTCCTCATCTGTAACATTTATACAAGCCATTTCCCTTAGAAAGTCCTCCACGAAGGCATCCTTTAGGCAGACAGCCCTAGAGTGTTTGCCATAATTAAATAAACAAAAACAAATCAGATGAACTGGCTGGTTGCCTGTGTAGTTTTCGTAGCTTTCCCCATCATGTGTAAAGTGAATATCAGCCAGTTTTGCTTAGAAAGTTTTCTAAGAAGGCATCGCTTCTCTTAAGCAAATAGTCCTACTACGTTTTGCCATATTCAAATAATCAGTTAATCGAACGAAATATTCAGTGTAACTATTATGCGAAATTATATTCCATTCATAAATTGACGAAAACAATGAAGGTAAAAAAAAAAAAAAAATTCAGCACTTTTAGAATCATAATGAGATTTCATTTAATAAGTCATCTTTACTTTAGGAGGCATATTTATACGGAATATTAATATTAGGCCGACCCGCAGCCGAGCGGTAACGTCGCTGAACACTGGTAGTCCAGTCCGGGACTCGAATCCAGGCGAACGAGTTGGCTGCATGAACGTTTTCGTGGTTTTCACTTGTTTAAAGTCTATACAAGCCAACCTCCTTAGAACCTTGTCTACGAAAGCATCCCTTCCCTTAGGAAAATAGCCCTTGAATGTTTTATCATTATTAAATATACTGAATATTATGATACGAAGCGGCTGCGAGTATAATTAACTAATTTTCTGAAGGCAAGTCTTTTATTTGCGAAGAACGAAAATAGACTGAAGTCATTAAATATACTTCTCTAAGAGCCTAAAAATTTTATGCAGAAATAAAATCATGTACTAATTCTTTCTTTATTTATTTTCTAGTTGTTATTTTTTTTCAAGTAATAATGCGTACATATGCATGTATAAATTTGAATATTCAGAAAGAAAAAAAAATTGAGAATAAAAAAGTGTCAGTGAACTCTAATTTTTGTATGACTATCCGGTATTTGTTAATTTCAGAATACAAATTACAATCCATGCAGGAAAAGTCAGTTTTTATTTTTAATTTTTTCACGGATCTTATTTTATTAATTATATATATATATATTGCATGGTTTCTGAGTTTTCCTCAATAAAGCTCTCATCCATGTTACGTAGGATGTTTACTTATTCCTGCTGTACTAATTATAACATTGACAAGATCCATAAAATCAGACATTTTAGGCTCATTTCCCATTATTCGATATACGTAAACACCCAAATTAGAGGTTTCTTACTCATTTCCTTACTGATACTAATGCACTCTATTTCGATTCGTCATCATCCTCTAAAATATGCTTTAAAAAAAGGCCTTCTTTCCAAATACAAACATTAATTTTTCCTTACTTGAATGCATTACTCTTATTTTAAGGCGTTGCAGGATACTCAAGATTAGAATAATGTATGCAATATAGCACATTTTCCTGTTACAGTAATTGACTTTGAGAATTGTATACATCCAAAATGCTTTTCAGTAACTACACGAAAAGGTATATAAATATATGGCATTCTGTTTCAGGAGGGAAACTAATATCGGGCATGAGAGACGGCAGTAATGTGTCAGGCTTTCAAGTTTTCTTTACATGTAACTACAAGGTATGTTCTGTTACATTTCTCTTGTATCTTTTAATTTGAGCCTTTTCATTAAATGTATGCTTTTTAGGAGAAATATTATTATTAAGATTATGACATACAATAAGCATTCAGTCCCTCAAAAAAGAGGAATTTATTTTATATGCTTAGTTTGTATGCTTATATCTTATTGTATTAATTTAATGAAATTTTTTCAAACTTTCACAAACAACAGTTATTTGCTATTACTATTATTTTGCATAATAAGTTTTCTATTTTAGTTACAAATACTTTGTTTAATTTAATTTATAAGGCGTCAGTAGGATTTGGATTGATGCAAGATTTTTCCACACATAAAATTAAATAATGCTAGCTTTATTCTAAAAAGAATATAAAATTCACGGATATTCAATAAGCAGCTGTCAGTAGATGATTAAGCTTTAAATACGTTTTCAAAGTTATCTGAAGTTTCAATAGTTTTTAATAGTTATTACTTCGTTAACTGAAGGAAACATATAAAAATGTATTATGATTGAAAAAAAGGTAAAAAATATAAATACATTAAATAAGTTGAAACTATATTTTACTTGGTACCATCTGAATAAAGCTAATATTTTAAAATTATTAAAAGGGAATTTTTATAAATTAAAAGTAATCTACATGACTTCCATAAATATTACATTAAAAATTCAGTTAAAAAAGGGTTACTTTCCTCATGCGTTTTACTTTGCTTTATGCATTAACAAATGAGAACTGATAAATTCCTCATTATCATGCTATCAGCTGCTGTTTTTTAAATTTGTGTTTTAGCTTTTGATAACACTTACTATTTTACTTACTACTTCTCTTCTAGTCTACTTACTATTTTGTTCAGAAGAATTTTAAATTTCGTAGTATGTTAACATTTCGTTTTAATGCAGTCATATGCCGTTAACTGTGTAACGTTTTGGAATGTATTTATTTGAAATTACTTATATTATTAAGAGTAATATAAGAACTTACTTATATTACTTATATTATTACTTATATTACTTATATTATTAAGAGTGTATGTTGTATGTGTACGTGTATTAAGGCAAAATTTATCAAGTATGGGGCAGAAATTTGGTAAAGAATTACTCATATGATGATAAATCGGTTTGCACATAATAATGTATTAGTGACAGTAATTCCCTAGCCTTTAATTCCACAGCTATCTCGTGGCTCTCCTTCCCTCTTCAAAATTTTATTCCCTTTTCAGCTTATCTGCCAACCTCTGCTTCTCTTTTATATTTACTTTTGCGAGATAGCTCTGCGGAGGAACATTTCCTAGGGCCATAGTTATAATTGCTGATAGGACTTAAAAAAGTATGGTTTGACTTCGTAGATTATGACAATTTGATTACGCGATGTTTATGCTTCGTAGCAAATGGTGTATGAATAAATAATTCTTAAAAACTATCGACAAAAATAGATTTTGATAAATTTAGTTTTTTTTTTTTTTTTTTTTTTTTTTTTTTTTTCAGAATACAAATTGCTTTAATTTTTAATCTTAATACATTTTCGACTTCCTAAAACTAATAAAGTGTATAGTTGCCCATTTCAGTCACCCTCTATCTCCGATCTTAATCAAGGAGGTTACAAGGCTCTGTATGTCTGGAGGAAAAATTTCTGATATGTTGTCATTTGCCTACACAGATTGCCCTAATGATTGTAAGAAATGTTTCGGTTTCAATTGCATTCCTGTTATCAATGGCACTCTTTGCATGTAAATAAAATAAATAATATTATACTCAAGAATTTGTAACAATAGTTGCTTATTTTGAATAAGACATTATGCTGTATTTAATTATGTTTTTATTTCTAAATAGGTTTAGCATCAAAGTGCGTCTCTTGTTCCAGCCTTTGGTAAACTGAGAGTCCTGAACTTTTTCTAGCCGTTCGTAAACTACCCTGTAGATCCGGGCTTTTGTAGACTGCTTAGCATTCAGAAGCTCGTCTCTACAGGTATCTTGCGAATGACGCTGATTGCAGCTATGCAGTGCAGAAGACACATTTTTCAGGCATTGTCTCTCATGTGAATTTTGGAGGAATAGTTCAGACATTAGATAACGTTTGACCCCAGTATTAAGTGAGTAAATTTTTATAAGTATTGATCAAAGAAGGATTTAATTTTTATTTATTTGTTTATTTATTTTTTCTGTTTTATCATCATTCCCTGTAGAAGAAACAAGACATAGTTTTATAACCATCCGCTCATTTTTCTAATAATTTGGCGTACTGAAAATTTTGCATATGCAAATACACGTAATTTCTAAGATATCATTAACATAAATTGTACAAATTGCATCACATGTATTGTATAACCAACTGTTCATTATTTAGGTTCACTAATTGTTAGCTTTCGTATGTGCATGTACCTAGTTTTTGGGGTATCATTATCATAAATTTTATAAATTATATCACATGTATCACTGATAATTGTTAAACTACATCCCATTTTACATATTATATCGCACGTTTACTAATGGTAACGTTGCAGCGATTGCTAAAACATCTCTTTTTGAAATATTGTCTGCTTACTGAAAGACCTTTAAAGAAAATATTTTTGTAATTTTTTTTAAACAAAAATAACCAACCTGTGCAGTTATGGACTCGTGAAACATAAATGGAACAACAAGACGTCAAAAGTTGACAAAAACTTTAACAGAGACATTTGAAATATTCGTAACCTATGAAGGTCAAAATTAGCACAACCTAATTGTTTTCCGTTGGTATGGATGGTTTTGTGAAAGCTCGTTGATACTGATGGTAAGCCTTTGAAAGAAAAGTAACGCTATTGCTGCTAAAATTTTATCATCTCTTTTTTCTAATCATAGCAGATCGCATGGTACCAGCAAAAACTCTTTCAATAAAATTGTTGCTGAAAATCAAAAAAGAAAAAGTTTATATTTGTTTTGTACTGCAAGCTTTGATTTCAGAACGCAAGTAATTTCGAATTACTTACTGTATGACACAATTATCTGAAGTTACAGATAAAGGTAGAAAAAAGTCGGACGTTTTTTAATAACAGTTAGTTGGTATCCAAAACCAGTATTTTCTTTATGGCCCAAAGATAAAAAGGCTGTTTTTATGCCTACAAACTGAAGAAAAATTCTTCTCGGCCATGGAAAATCTTGTTTTAGAAATCTCGAGTAAAGACAGTTCTAGCAATTTCCTTGTCTACAGGAACTGCAACTAAAAAATCACCTAAATTGCAATTGGAAAACCGAGACTGAACTTCTTGTTTATAAGCAAGTAACAGATTTGAGTTTTGAAACCAACTCAGTAAGATAAGATTAAAAAAGCTTCTATCGGAGAACAGCCTTTTGTTGCATTTACAGGACTACTATTTCGTCTAATCGCTTTGGCGAACATGTTGGAGTCCTGAGTAAGAACAGGGAGTTTACTAAAAACTATGTCCTAAAAGTGTAGAAGAAAAAACGCAAGTGAGAAGTTAACTAACCTTTATTCTTCACAGTTTACAGCTGCTCCCGCACTTCGGGATACAAAGACAAGTACTTGTGGTCTGAAACGTAAAAAATACGAACTACAAACTAACTAAATTTAAATAAAAAAAATCGCAATCTAAACTCAAATGCTTTACAAAGATTATGAAAGCGAGAATTGGCCTTTTAATCTTTACGTATGTAGTACGCAGAAATGTGGGAAAACTTCTAAACATCCTCAATATCAAGAGGACTAAATCTCTGGCCTTAAAGGAGGACAGCAACTGACTGAAAAGCGCGCGCGAAATAAGGTAGCGAGAAGTTTCTCTCTCTAACTCCTTTTTGGCTAAAAGCCGCAACTTAAATACTTAACCTCTTTTATTCTCGCCGGAAGTGGAAAATAAGAGAGGACAATAAAGTTTTGAAATAAAATAAACGTTAGTACAAATCCTTATAGCATGATATTTTTTTTCCTCACTGTACAGCTGTAGTCAAACAATTACAGATTAGTTAAACAAAAGAGAGATCCTTAATCCTTAAATTCTACAGCAACAAGATTTATCACCTGTAAATTATTGTAGCTTCTAAATAGAAATCTCATCCTAAACAACAATACTTTAAGAACATTTAGTAATTCAGATACATGTAAGTTACAATATATTTTTACAAAAACACTCAGTACTTAAAGAATATGATTTAAAGTAAAACTGCCTAAAATAGCTTTTCTTTGTTCTATGAATATGTTTTCAATTATTTTATTTACATGAAATGCATTAAAAATTATTAATATATTATTAGTAAGTATTTACAAGCTGTTGTTGAATATTGCTAACAGCATTAAATTCTATACCTATACATACACACATAAAATAATAAAAAAACTATCGATTTCGACGTGTATAAATTTCAACTTTTGAATTGTATAACAGCTATAAAAATTCTAAAATTTTCACAAAAATATAGAACTGAAAAGGATTTTAAAATATGCTAAAATATTTTTAATCGTAAATATAACTGAGAACAAACACATAAATTTAGGCACATATTTACACATATCAATTTTATTCATGCACATATATATTTGTACAAGATTATTTGATACCTGCTTGTGTTCTTAACAATGTAGTGATCTGAAAATGGTATGATATATTTAGATGTCTTTCCTTTTATTAACATAATTTATAAAAATTTATCTTCTCATGAAGTTTAAAGAAGACATGTTAGAAGTTGAAGAATATAGTTTCTGATGATTCACATAACATGAATTTTTATTATATTTTTTGAATCTGAAAATAAGATATAGAACATTATCTCTTTCAGAGTGATTTTTAGCAGAATGTATAATTAATAAGACGCATTAAGTCTACTACTGATTTTTCCTTTAGTTAAATTTTTAAATATTCAACATATAAATGTTTCTAATCACGGATAGTGAACAGCTTGTTTCGCACCTTCCTGTCTTTAGCTCTACAGATTGAACAGAAACCAAAATACTACATTGCATGTTATAGTTTAATATACTCAAATGCTGTAAGATGTAAGTAATGTATAGATATACTCAAGTGCAGTAAGATATAAGTAATGCAGTAATGTATAAGATGCTTAAATTTCCCATTTTAAAATTGTCCTCTTTAGAAATAAAATGTAAACTCTGTGTAATTATTTTTCTGCAAAAGTATTATGCAGACGCACTTTTTCTTTTTTTAGAATAAGAAAATGACAAAATTTCGATCACTGCTATTATTCCTGGTTAAATTTATGAGTGTTTTCTGTATTTTATTTGTTTCCTTATATCTGTAAAGTTTTCTGAACCATCTGTAATAAAAATAAAGAGTTTGACTTCATAACTCAGTCTGTTATTCAAATGCTTAAGCACAATACATGAGTATTTATATTTCATATCAAGCAAATTATTTTTAAAATATCTTAATTCACGATGCTAAACTGTACTCATTGTTACGACTCATTGTTATGACTAATTTATATCTCGCTGAGAGTATATTTTTGACTTATAAAACAAATATATGTATATTGTAACTTACACATAAAACATTTCTGAAAAGATGCAAAAAAGCAATGCTTTTTCAAGTTAAACATTTTATAGAAAATATTTTAGAGTGACATAAAAATTCTTCCTGTTTTATCCTTCATAAATCATACTCAATTTCACATTGCTTATCCGTTGTTTTATCTCTTCATTGGTCACCAAGACAACTATGGTTTAGCTCACATAGATTAATAAACAACATGGATGAGATACCAAGCTGAAATGTAGATTTTTTAAGCAATTCATTGGTTGGGCTTATCCATGGAAGGTAAAACGTCTTTTTTGGCGTCTACTGCAAAACGTGAAGTCCATAGATTTGAAACTTCCTTGTCACTTAAAAATTTGTGAAAGATTTTGAATATACATCCAGATAGAAATTGAACATAAGTTATTAAGCATAAGAGAAAGAAATTAGAAAGTAATCTCAAAAGAATGAGATTTTATGAAGCAATAATATAGAAGTGTACAAAGCATGTTTCAATAACTCATTTTGCCTTACTTTCAGCTTCGTATATTATACGCTCAAAATGAAGTCAAGGATTATAGATGCCTTAGACATTCTAGCAAACCTACCCAGTATGCTAATAATATAGCTCTCTGTTTTAAAAGTACTGTTTTTAAGTCTATAGTTATTAAATATGAAACGTCTTAAGTACTCAGTATTTCCTTTGCGTCGGGTGCTTTGGTGGGAGTAATATCCAACGTAAGGAAAATAATTACAACTGAAATGATTTCTTAGATTCGTGTTTTATACAAATGATGCTGTACAACACAAGTACTAAGCTAGATTAATTATTTAAAATAACTACATAAAATTTTAAAAAATACGTAGCTTGCTTAAAAAATTTAATTTGTATCAGTGGCAAATAATACAAGTAGTTTATTACCATTTACATTTCCTATATAACACCAGTTTCTGTAAAAAATAATAACTTTTATTAATTAGGAAACGACATGTTTCTAAAATGAAACTAAAACTTTTTAAATAAAACGCGCTACATTACGCCTTTCACCAAAAGTCTAACATTTTATTCAAAATGTGCTCTTTTTGTACCAATCCTTCTGTTGGCAAGCTTGATCATTTATTTCATAGACATATTCCTGTAAACTCGTCTTTAAATTGACTTTAATGAGTTTGGTTAAGGTAACTCGGTATGGCTTCAGTATCCTTTTAGAATGCCTATTTCATCGCCATTTTTGCTTTCAGAAAACCGAAAATAAGCAAATCATATCAAGATTGCCAAATAAAATGGCTGTTGGATGATACGCACTTCATTCTGAGAAAAAATTTATGTAATTTGATGATTTCTATGTGGTAGAACACTGTCATGTAAAAATTATAAACTTCTTGGCTTTCAATATATTAATCTTAATATTTCTCCACTAGAAACATTAATACACACATTGCTTTTTGATAATTTCACTTTCTGGAACGACTTCAGGGTGAAATGTCGCCTGTTGAGTTGTAAAAACAAATTAACATTAAATTAGAAGAGATATGACATTTGTATTACATTTTTTAGCACTTGTGTCTAACAGAATCGCCTTACAGCTCTGCGTCAGTTCTGACAGGCGTAAATGGATCCTTTATCATGAGTTATCGTGAAGGGAGTGAAATGCAAAGTTCATTCAGACAGCAGTACAATCAATTTTAGCTTTAATAAGTCTTTATATAAAGACCTAAAACTATTACAAGGCAAATATCTATTTGACTGGTAATTGAATGTCGAATAAAATTTAAGCTCAAATAAATTCACAGTTCAGTTTAATCTAACAGGAACTACAGTTTTTCGTAACGGATAATGATGGGTTTAAAATTTCTATTTCAGTTTACCATTCCGATAGCTTTTCAACACAAGCCAGATTTAGTATCACCAAACATTTGCAAACAGCTAATTCAATACTCCGAGCGCGGCTCCAGTGTTTCTCACTCACTCATTTTCTTTTGAGGTTTCGACTGGCTTATTTAAGCATGGCAAAGTCGTCGAGAGCTACCTGCCTAAGGGAAGGGATCCCTGCATGGAGGACTTTCTGAGGGGAAATGGGACATACATACGATACACATGAGGAAAATCACAAAAACGACCACGCAGCCGGTCTGTTCGGCGGGATTCGAACCAAGGACCGAAATACCAGCATTCAGTGACTTCACCGGCTCGGCCACATCTACGGATCCGAAAAAGACTTTTTTTAATCCGCCAGCACTTCCACTTAAAATGTACATAACTGTCTGCAAAGAACGATTTGTGTTACTGAAGTAAGAAAAGGCAGTAAAAATGCAAATTAAAATAATTATTATTAATCCCACTGAAACTGAACTGACACAGAGAAGTGATAAGAGATGGAGGACTGGGCCACTTGATGGCTAACGGAGGTAAGCAGGTATTTGTTCCGCGCGCTCCATTTATCTCATTATCTCCCTGGTGTCCCAAAAAAGCTGCCTCGGTGGTTAATTGACAACTACTTCAAAATTACATGGCATTACAAATTAATGCATCGGAGTCACGTCTCGTACTTAAGAAGATCAGCCAACCATTTGTGGTTAACAAATAGTAAACAATAGTAAATTTCAGAATTTAAAATTGAGCTTAGTAGCCAAAGGCTTTACAAATTGATTTAAGAAGAAGTTTGCTCAAAAGCTTCTCACGGCTACTGAAAACGCAAATCCGAAGCACTGTTTTCTACCACAGCCGGCGAACCTAATAACGTGGCTTCGAAAAGCAGAAACATGCTCTGCTTTGCAATCCAATAAGCTCACCGTAAATACAACTTAAACCTGATTTGCAGTCTGCTAGAGAAACGAAAAGAGAAGTGACAATGAAGATCTAAATAATAATAAGAAAAGTAGTTATTCAAATTCAAAATAATAGTAAACTTACTCAATGTGTCTTTTGCTTTGCATATGGAGAAAATATCAAATCTCTTTTCATTAACTTTTTATTTTTAAGTCAAAAGAGCATGAAATGAAACGTTTAATATACCAAATTTGTCCTCTAGTATTCAATATAATCCTTACGGATCCGTAACAATACTTTTGAGTCCTTTCCCAATCAAGTCATCAATCTTGAAACTATCCTCCTTATCTATGTCTTATATTCAGTCTTTAAAATGTTCAGCATATGATATTCGTGCATTATTTCTTTCTGATTTCACAATACTCTAAGTGACAGCACTTCTTAGAAAATGCTTAGAATGCTTATCATAAACTTTTCATCGTTTATTTTAAGTAAAAACCTATTGTTACTAAATAAATTCAGATATTGTATCGTGTCGCTAATTTGAGAAGGAAACATTTGCTCGATTTATTTTTCGACTAATTATGTAGTTGTAAGACTATAATGCAGGAAATACACTTTAGGAAACTTCATCGGGTTTGTCTTCATTTTAATCAGAAAAGGTTAGCCGAAAGAGACCATTTTACTTATAAATGGTCCTATCAAGCAATTATTGGATGACTAAATAATTTATTGCTTGTCATCTGTTCCTGAAGTCTTATTTTGTTATTAATTATCAATACATCACTGATTATCGATAGGTCTCTACCTTCTGCTAAATATATAATGTTGTAGCAGTAAGTAAGTAAGTATAAATAAAATTTGATGGTAAATGACGCTGATCTCTAATTCTGAATGTAAACATCCGTCGCCTAATCTCAAAAAGAACTTTTTAATATTCTATAGTTTAATTTTCATTTACAAAGCCGAGTCGATTTTCAGTTAAAATATAAAAACTTTATTTTGTGAGCCCTTTTTAGCTTGTATAAACAGTGGGTTATTAAGTTTTCATATTTTGATGAAAAGTCTAATTTTTTCTGTTACTGAGATTGATTTGCGACCATATCTACAATCAACTTAATAGAGAGCGCAGATTGCCGAAAAAAAGTATCGAAATCAAAGTTAGTGTTCGAATTTCGTCGTTTAAGTAAAAGGTGAGCGTTACAATATCGGCTTCGAATATCTCATATGATAAAAGTAGCCTCTCTGAAAATTAGAGGAAATCTTGGCTTCGACCCAGTGGAAATTCAGGTCGTAGATTAATGCCCGATAAGTAGACTAGCGTCAGTGCATTAAAGCAGAATGCTAATATATGAAATGAAAAAGAGAATCTAACGGATTAGATCACTGTCAATCAATTAGTGTTACAAAGTCAAATCTTGTTTTCCAGCAGATACTATCCAAACTGTTTGATGGATTAAGATAACTAAGCTAGGAATAGTGACCTATATGAGGAAGGTCTTAAGTTTGGATCCGCCCGGCGACACAAGACTTTTTATAATGTCTCTATTGTAGTATCGTTTATTTTTAATGTGCAGTTAAAATTCACTGTATATCAGGTATAGTTTCCTCAGTTCTGTCATGAATTAAATTTCAGTTTAGAATCGGTAAAAAAAGAGAATACATAATTTGATATAATAAAATAAAACATTTATTTAAGTAAAAGTAAGTTTGTTACGTTTCGCCTTTAGTTCATTAATTCTGATCATTTGACAAGAACCGTCTATATAGGACTATCTCTGAAGCCCAATATATAAATTACCTACCTCACAAAAATGTAATAGGTAAAAGGTAACAGCTATTCTGACTAGATCTGAAGTTTGCAAACTTTTATCTGTCGGTACCTGGATGTTTATATTTGTAAGGAACGAAGTATGCCGAATTATTTATGTCTCATTTTTACCATGATTTACTTTTTGCCGTGTTTCCTACATATTAAGTATTAAATACAAGCATTGTATACTGCGGGAAAAAAATGGGGGGTGGGAGTCCTATATCTGCCGTTCTACTGGGCCCATTG